GACTTGGTGTGATACCCCCCACCCCATATAGAAAACAATACGACATAGAGCTTATTTTATTGTTAATATAGGCCACACACGTGTGTTTGAAACTAAATATAAGCATTTTCATCGTGGTTTTATTTATTACAATCATAGGCCTATTCTTTCACCATCATTACAAATTTAGGCCCTTCTTTTAGGTAAAACGATCTATCTTAAATTTTCTTTCTCAAGTTTTTGACTAATATGTTTTTAAATAACTTAGAAGGCAAAGGAGGGCAAGCACAAGCTTTAACCATAACAAATGCGCGCGAAGCGCGCGAAAAATGTTTATGTTTTAATTCTAATTTCGTCGGAATTGATCAAAACTCCCTAAATGTGCAATTTTTAGAGGAAATTGGCCTACCTCAACAAGAAATGCTCTTATGTTATATATGGCCACACTGGTTTTTTTAAACTGAATATTAGCATTTTCTTTATGGCTTTATTTATTACAAACATATTCTTTCAACATCATTACACATTGAGGCCTTCTTTTAGGTGAAACGATCTATCTTTATTTTTTTTTTTTTGAGTTTGGGACTATATGTTTTAACTTAGAAGGCAAAGGAGAGCAAGCACAAGGTTTAACATTAAAAAATGCGAGCGAAGCGCGCGAAAATTTTTGTTTTTTTAATTCTAATTTCGTCGGAATTGATCAAAACTCCCTAAAATGTGCAATTTTTAGAGGAAATTGGCCTACCTCAACAAGAAATGCTCTTATGTTATATATGGCCACACTGGTTTTTTTAAACTAAGTATAAGCATTTTCCTTATGGCTTTATTACAAACATATTCCTTCAACATCATTACACATTGAGGCCCTTCTTTTAGGTAAAACGATCGATCTTAAATTTTCTTTCTTGAGTTTGGGACTATGTGTTATAACTTAGAAGGCAAAGGAGAGCAAACACAAGCATCAACATTAAAAAATGCGCGCGTAGCGCGCGAAAAAAATTGTTTTTTAAAATTCTAATTTCGTCGGAATTGATCAAAACTCCCTAAAATGTGCAATTTTTAAAGGAAATTGGCCTACCTCAATAAAATATGCGATTTAAAATTTAAGATTTTCAGGCACTTTCCTGGGTGAAAAGGGCATTCAATGGGGAAAGATTTTCCACAGATGGATATTTTCCCCTTGACCCCCGGTGGTTACGTACGCCACTGCAGAGAATACCTGGCAGCTTATATCAAGTGCGATATGGACAGTTTTTGAAGTGGAGAAGGGGTTGCAGGCCGGGGTATTGTGATATCTGTTCATTATATCTTCCTTTTTATTCTTGTCTTTATTTTTCTCTTCTCTTTTTCATTTTCCTTTCTTTTTCTTTCCCCTTCTTTCTCTTTCCCTCCCTCTCCCATCTTTCTTTTCTCTTCTTACCCAGCCCTGTACGACGGCTTGGTCAGCCCGATAAAAACCGTCAGGGATACAGTCTGCCCCCGGCCCCCCGCCTGTTACGCCACTGCTTATAAGATGAATGGGAATATGAATCATGCAGATCTGGAATCAAATCTAGGTGGTGGGGTCAACATTCCTCCCCCGGGAAAATTTTGATTTCTAGATGGCGTGAAATGACCTTTCTCGACTTTTGAGCTAGGTGTCTAATGACTTTGTTTTTCAAAATTCAAGGTTTTCCCCCTCATGAAAACGGTAAGGTAAACTTTCTCATTACAGTAAATAGGCCTGTTATGTGTGTATAAATACATTTTTTTTTTAAATTGAGTAGTTGCATACGATTTTTTCCATGAGATGAATCCCAAAAAGAAAGGAGTGTCCGGGGTTCTTCCCCAGGAAAATTTTGATACCTAGAAGGCGGGAAATGAGTTTTCCTGACTTCTGAGGTGTCTTTTAAATTAAAGTCATTAAAAAATACTTCAGAAGTCGGGAAATCTCATTGTCCACCATTTAGAAATCAACATTTTCCCGGGAAGAACTCGAACCTCCCTTTCTCTGTGTTCAGTGATTCATTATAATAATTTTCAAGAGGGGTGTGCTGCGCCTTTCGCTCGCCATAGTGTTTTTTCGTTGGCGGCGTGTTTCGTGATGGCTAGCAACGCTAAACCAGGACAGTTTCGCCGTATTGATTAGCTTAGTTTTAGCTCCATTTTCTCTTACAAATGTGCTTATAAAGGCTCTTATGTCACAACTCAGTAAGTTCTGATATCACTTGACATTATAGGGATGCAGAATGATTTACCTTTTCCTTTTGTATTTTAAATCTGAGAAGATAGGCTAGGCCAGATGTGTATAAGAGACAGCTCCTCTTCCGTTTAAACCAGTTAGACCTAAACTTCCTAATAATAGGGAAATGGCTTGGAGAAGGGCAATGTCGCTTCACAAAGGTCTCTGTAAAGACACAACAAAACGGGATCACTTTGGTCAGTTTATGGAGAACGTGATAAGGAATGGACATGC